CCCTCCAGCCCGTGGGAAGATGCTCCCTCCTTGCAAGGCCACAGAGAGCAGAGTGACCTCCGAGCACAGCACAGATCTGGCCTGTTACCTTGTTCCTGTGGATGTAGTAAAGTCCATTCAACAGCATCTGCATAACTTTCTTGATCTCTGAGAGCGTGAACTTGACGTGGGCGTTGCTGAGGAGACCAGCCAGGTCGTGCTCACAGAAGTCAAACACCAGGTAGATGCTGCCCTTGCAGCGGTTGTACGGGGAGGCTATGGGAGAGGCAAGGAGGGACTGTCAGTGTGGGACCTTCAGCCCCATCACAGCTCCTTCTGAGCCTGCTGCTCCTGCCAACACTCACTAGACAAAACCCCCAGGGCACAGGAACACGGAGAACACTGCAGATCTCCAGATCCATTGCAAAGAGGCACCAGGACAGCCCAACCAGCAGTGGAAGAACAGGGGACGAGGAGCAGAGTAGTGAATTTCCACCAGAGATGGAAGGAAAGGGCAGGAAAACCTTTGAAGCTTCGTTTTGTGTTGTTCTGGGCACCTCAGAGCTGTGGGGTTTCCCTCCTGCCAGCTGTGGCTGGAAGGTGAGGGTACCACCAGGTGCCAACCCAGCAGAAACAGAGAAAATCTGTCTAACACAACAACAAGGTTTTCTGCAATCTCAAACACTATCTGTAAAAACAGAGTGATCTGGATCAAAATTATCTAAACGATCTAAAACTCACTCCTACTGAAGGCAAGAAAACCCCAAAGGAAGCAATTGATTTCAATCTTGTTCCTAGAACACACGTGGAAAACATGATTAAAAAGAAAGGCTGGTTTTTTATCAGCTGTGATCAGCAAAAGCTGCTGAACAACAAGTCCCAACCAGAACATGACAGCACCTATGGACCCACACCACTGCCCTCTGCCAGCCAGGCTGGCTTTGCAGCTCCTTACAGCCCTTATCACACCTTTCCAAAGTAAAAAGAGAAAAGCTGCAAGTTTAAGAGCAGTAAATGCAACATTTCTACTTGACTGGAAATGAGGTCAAGGTGGATTGGGATGAAAAAACTGGAAGGCAAACAAAACCCAAACAATTGACATGTCTACAAAAATATTTACCCTAGGCAGGCCAGACCTGCAATCATCACAACTCATTTAGGCAGGAAATAGATTAAAATTTAACTTTTTGTCAGTATTCCTACTTGTATCTGTTCAAGCAGTGATATACATGAGTAACTTCAAGTTCCCAGTCCTAGGCCAGGGATTTCTACCAGTTCAGTGACTGGAATATTTTAAAAGCATCATCACTTTCATTTTTATTTAACCGAGATGGCTGCCTGGGGGGTGGCAGCCTCTAATGTCAGTGATCATTTTCAGACCCCTTTTTCCAGTACAAACCCAGAGAAGAGAACAATGTATAAAAACTAGCAAGTGGTATAAAGAAATTTCACTGGCACCAGAGCCTGCCCAGGTACACTGAGCACACCAGTCCCACTGAGTGAGGAGGAAGCAGGACTCAGAACCCCCCCACGTGGGGCCCCTGCAGGACAAGTGGTCACCACTGCCCACAGAAAGGGACACTGAGCAAGTCTCCAGCTGTGTCCTCAGCTTGGAGCTGCCACAAAAAATCAAGCCCCAGTGGAGAGGAGTGGCTCCAGCTCCTGACACACCATGCACAGCCTTGAGATCAGCTCCCTCTGCTTCAGTCACTCCAGCACTGCTTTATTTACAGCCTCTCAGGCACTTTTCCAACACAGGCAGGATTCACTGTCATAATGCAGCCACACCCCAGCAGTTTTTCCAGCCAGGCTGCAGCAACATCCTAACCCATTTAAAAACAGATTTCCAAGATGAGTTATGTCAGCCCCATGTCCCAGGCAGGAACTGAGGCCTCTGCTCAGCCCTGGGGCCCCACTCCCAGCAGAAAAGACCAGCCTGCTCAGAGGCCAAGGAAGGCAGACAGAAAACAAACCCAGTGTGAGAGATCCCTGCAAAGCTACCTTTGGTCCTGCAGATTTCAATCAGGTTCACCACATTCTCATGTTTGAGCAGCTGGAGGATTTTAATCTCTCGCAAGGCTGTGATGGGGAACTGGAAAGAAGGAAAGAGAGGACAGGGATTAGGAGCTGCAGACCAGGCAAGACATGACCACAGCAGCTTGGCAGGGGACATCCTCCAGCAGCACAGTGACAAGCCATCACGGGAGGGCAATCAGAGCTTCCAAACAGAACACCAGCACTGGGATTGCCCAGGTTTGCTCACTGCTGGTGAGAGATTCTGCCCCAAGATAGAGGCGTCTGGGAGGGGCCGAGATTGGCACTCAGGCACCTCCCTCCTCTTCTCACCTTGCATGTTTGTAACACGGACACCAGCTGCAGAACAGCCCCCTTGCTGCCTGCACTGCTCACCCTGCTGCTCTCTGCTCAGTTTGTCCCCAGGCAACAGCCAAGAACGACCCTCGAAGCTGAAAAGGTGATAACAGCCCACTTGGGCGTGGCAGCCACAAGACCCAACCTTATCGCAGCACCGGCTGGAGAGGAAAATGGCCACAGGGTGGGATCCTGTCCACACCCTTACAGGCTCAAGCTCTGCCTCGTTATAGCAGCAACATTGTTAAAGAACAGCGTGAAAAAGCATCTCCACTGCCGCAAGGGTTAAGCTTTCACCCACCAACCCCCCCAGCCCAGGTGCTCCCCAGCCACGCTCCCACACTCACCCCCTCCTTCTCGTTTTCCATCAACACTTTCTTCAGCGCGACCTTCTTGCCCGTCTGACGATGTTTGGCTTTAAAAACTTCCCTGTAAAAGAAAGAAACAAAACGAGAGAGAAACCCGTGAGAAGCGCGAAGAGGAAGGGAAGGAGCCCGATGCTCCTCACCGGGGACCGGAGGCACCAGAGCCCCGTACAGACCCCGAACCGGCCCAGCCACGGGACAAAGGGCCTCGGTACCGGCTGAGCC